CTATGAAGTCTTACCGAATCCTAAACGACTGCAGCTTGCTTTAAAGGCGACTCCTCATGTTGCGTGTCATTCACGTAGCTTTACTTTTTTTTGAAGTCAGTTTCGAGGAATGGTGTGGTTCTATGCATACATGTTCACCTAGCACGAGGCTTGGTTTTGATATCCCCTCTAGCTGAAGTTTATAATTATTTATCTATTTGAATCTATGTCGAATTTGTGCTCACTGATAACACTGATTATTTTGCTTACAGGCAACGACAACGACAGCGATACTCAAACTTCTGCGTAATAGGCTGTCAGCGCTATCGCGTTAAAAATTCTTATCATGATGACAAATCGCGACCACTTGCGGACACGCTGGTTTGTTGCGCAACTACAGTAAACCCACATATTAAGCAAAAGGAGCTTGATGTGGGCAAGTTGGTGTAGCATACTGGAAGGTAAACTACTGAGCAAAAACAAACAAACAAACAAACAAACAAAAAGCAAACAAACAAACAGACAGACAGACAGACAGACAGACAGACAGACAGACAGACAGACAGACAGACAGACAGACAGACAGACAGACAGACAGACGAGAACCAGAAAGAACACAACACGCGACCGCAATGTATGAAATTTTAAGGTGTTATGTCAAGGTTAGACATAAAAAAATGTTGTAGCAAATATAGAACAGGCTGTTGTAGCGGAAATAGCAGAGCGGGCAAAAATTTTTTTTTTACTGGGACAACGACGGTGAATCAAGACGTTTTCCAAGCACGAGCGCATCACAAAGGACAATTTTATTTCACTATGTACACCACTCTAGTCGAGAGGGAAAAAAAGTAAAAAAGGAGAAACATGCAGAAAATTACACGTATGCACATAGTCGAAAAGAGTTTCCTGTGCACCCCACACGTGAAAATGGTTTGAGCATGATGATGATATCTGGGGTTAAACGTCCCGAAACCACCGCATGATTATGAGGGACGTCGTAGTAGAGGGCTTTAGAAATTCCGACCACCTGGGGTTCTTCACCGTTAACGTTTTGAGCAACTGAGGAAGACAACGCTGTCGGCCCCTGCGGCTTTCAGTCTTTCTTCCACGGGTGGTCCTGTAGGTCGTGAAGACGCGCCGACCTCAAGGAAACTTTTCGTATGGTCCGCCAAGTGAACCACTCGTTGTCGCCCTTGTTGCGAGCCGGAAACGCGTCCTACCTTTCCTACTTTTTGGCCGCGCGTCGTTCAACTGGCGTTCCTCAGAAGCCATTTTCGTGATAAATACAACACAGGTTACGCTTATTTATTATATACCCCTATAACAATTGTCACTAATATTCTACGTGCCGCTGCGGCCACGTCTGTGTGGAACATGCGAGACATGCGAGCAGCCGGTTTTTGCTCTGCATTGAGGGGGGGGGGGGGGGAGGTGAATCTTAAATGAAAAGAAGATAAAAGTGAGCCCCATGACTGTCTCTCAGGGAGACAACACCTCAACAGTAGTTCACGAGGGATGGGGGTAAGGAGGGATTAAAAAGGCTATAAATTAAATGTATAGAGATAGAGGGAGGAGCAGGAAGAAAGAGAGGCGCAGGGACATCCACATACGGAAGTAAGGAGAAGATAGGAAAGATGGACGCGGTTGCAGAAGTCCGAGGACGGAGTACCACTCAGCGAGAGCTCTTGTCGGCGTCAGGGAATGGCGTAGGGCGAGCCAGTCCGCCAGAGCTGCGCTGTCATTGGAGATCGCTGGGGCACAGCCGGTCGGCACGAAATCCAGAGAGCAAGTCCGCTCTGCGTGGAAAATCCTTGGAGCGGTATCTGGCTCAGAGGTTTTCGGCCTGACAACTAGGCCACGCATACTTCCCATACACCCCTTCAGAGCCCGAAACTGCCTCAAGGTTTCACCCCGCAGAGCAAAAACCAGCTCTCCGCGCTCTCTACACAGACGTGGCCGCGGCTGTACGTAGGCATTGAACTTATAGTCACTCTAAATCACCACAGGCACGTGGGTCACTCTAGTAGATCGTCTTCAGTCGAGATTTCATGAAATGATTTCTCGAGGAACTTTGCCGTGGTCGATACGCCTAAATGTAAGGGAGCACGCCTAGACGCATTTAATGAAATGATCTAGACATGAGCGAGTTTACGAATTCGTATTCGCAAACACGTGTGCACCCGTTCATGCACGTTAAAGGTTCCCGTGCAGACCACGTAGTCGGTCGAATTCATCCCAGAATTTGCCTAAACCCCCGGAGGGGGGGGGGGGGGGGGCTTGTAAAGTAAATGCTTCTTGGGACGCTGTTGGTATGACTCGGCCCACAGCCGAGGGACATGCCTTGTGCTATGCGGCTGAAAGTGACAGGTCATCAATTGGGGTTGGAAATATAGATAGGCTTCCATATTAATGAAAGCTTATTTGTTGGAAGGCATGTCTATATATTTATTTATTTATTTGTTTATTTATTTATTTATTTATTTATTTATTATAAAACCACATAGCTCAAGGGCATTACATTTTGGAAGTTCCATGTTGGAAATATGTCTATCGACAGATATTTCATCCTCGAGATTTTGGTGTACCGAAGAACTTTCTGCGACGCTATAGAATAGAATGAGACACTGGAAGCCTTTATTACCTATATTCATAAATGACCGTAGTTGAAAAACAAAATAGTGTACACTTACAATAGCAAGATAAACTATAGCGCTTACAATTTACACTCCATATGTGGAAACTTTGAAATCAGTCAATGCGACGCCCCCTCTCTGTTTTACACAACGAAGCACCAAGTGCATGGATTGCGATCGGGCGGAATATAAGTTGTAGCTCTTCGTTCCACGTTTTATTTTCGTACTTCTTTTAGCAGTCGTTTGTCTGAGACGAGACAAAAAAAGAGTTACATAGAACGGAATCTTTAAAGTAAACAAGTCATTTAAAAATTTCCCTGGTTCTTGCTACAATGGCCGGCTCATGTTTTTTTTTTTTTAGCTGGCACTGCGAGACAGGTTTAGATATAACGCAATTCTTGCTCGCCTTATGCAAACATCTATTGGAGATCTAATCTATTTTTTTCTTTTCTTTTTAAAGAAAACATACTGACGTTTGTTCAGATCTAAGGTAGACTCGTGGTATTATGCCTTGTTTTCATGCATACTTTAACTAGCGGTACTAGACCCTTCAATCTCGGCAAGCATGGTCTAAAAGAATGAACTGTGATATCTATGATGTTCCTATTTCTAGTTAGGCTCCCTGATACTGCAACCTTCTACTATTCCAGCAGCAAACTTCAAAAACAAAGTTCGACCCATTAACGGCTAATTACACTCGTCCTAAAGAAGGAAGCATTGGGTAATTAAGCTTGTGAAACTGGTACGGATGAACGGACAGAGAGAGAAAGGGAGAACGAAGAGGATAGGAAGAGAGTTAAACCAATCACGAGCTCAATTGACTAAATAAGGAAAGAGCGTTGTTTAAGCATGAGCTCACATAGAGAGATGAACCATAGCATAGTTATTCCATCGTGTATATGTTAGAATAGGCAAAAATCGTGGAAGCAATTTGAACATGATGAAACAAACGAGCATGTACGCATGGGAACACAGAAGACACGTCCAACTTCAAGTGTTATCGTTCGTCGGCGTACAAGCTATGCTGTTGAGACTTCGCAGTCATTTAGCAAGGCCCCACAATCGGCATTGAGTGAAACGCGAACAGTGGAGGGGGTGGGGTGGCACAAGCATTAGAACGGCAGTGCACGCTGTCCAGTCTGACAGGCGCGCACATCCGTTCTGGCAGCACTGCGCGGTCCCTTCATAGTTTGATATTTTAGCTTCTGTTCCGGTCTTGATATGCGGCCGGCGTGGGCGTGCGAAAAACGTTTCGCGTTGAGTTTCTTTTATTTTTTATTTATTATATCTTTATTTCTTTGAAATATCCGAACTATAAAACCTTGTAGAAAATACCGCATTATAGTGGAATTAAGTGCTGCCAACCGGATGTGCGTGCGTAATATTGGTAATAAATAGAGGATGCACATAATATACCTTTACTAAAACACGTGGAACCCACCTTTCGTATGAAATTTTATTTGACGTCGGTGGGACCTCCACTGGTCGTTTCTTCGTCGTTATTTAGTGCAGTAAACTGTTGGGCACATGGCAGGCGCTGTACCACCAGGCAACGCGGGATGGGACCGCACAGTTCTGCGGTCACACTTTTGTTGTCTCTGTTAAAGGGGGAGAACTCTTAGCCATTCAGTGAACTGCGAAGAGGTGCCGTCACCTTGGGCTGTTAAACGAATGTTCTCTAATTTTTGTCTTGCGACTGCAAGACTACGCGGAAAAACGAGGATATTTTCTTGCCCCTCTCCTCGTCTTAGCCCCGACGCGGTGGTTTAGTGACTAGGGTACTCGGCTGCTCGGCTGCTCACCCGCAGGTTGCTGGATCAAATCCCGGCTGGGGCAGCTGCATTTTCGATGGAGGCGAAAATGCTCTAGGCCCGTGCGCTCAGATTTAGGTGCACGTTAAAGAAGTCCAGGTGGTCGAAATTTGCGGAGCCCTCCACTACGACGTCTCTCGTAATCAAATGGTGGTTTCGGGACGTTAAACCCCACATAACTGTCAATCAATCCTCTCGTCTTATGCGAAAAGCGTATTTCAGAAGTAAACTTCAGTAGTATTCTACAGTAGTAAACTATTCTAGTAGCAAACTTCATACATACATCCATGTTCGCACAAATAAACGTATTATTGTTTGTCAGAGCTTGGCCCTGTCAGTTATTTCTGTGTTGTCATTTTTCGCGCTGTTGTACATTCACAAAACCATGCCGACAAGCTCAGTTCATCTCACACTCTCTTATTTTTCTATCTCGTGACGTGAACTCATAAAACCAGGAAACGTCGTGTTAGCCTACCCAACCATTTGTGTGTGTATGCGTCTACGGTTGCACATCGCGATGGTTTGGCAGTGATACCGCACACGAAGGTAAAAAAAGAAGGTACACAAAACACAGTACTGCCTCATAAACGATTTTCTTTATTTCATAACAACTAACGTATGATTCCCGCATGCGCACATCGAAGAACCGCAAAAAATTGTTGTGTACCAACGAGAAACCAAATATGCACAAAAACGTCGTACAGCCGCCATTTTTATCAAAGGGAAACGTGCGCGCTTGTGGCAGATAGCCTCATGCCGGAAATGTGCGCTGCATTGGTGAAATTTGAAAAAAAAATCAATAAAAGAGGAACTGACATCGTTTTTTTTTTCCATTACACTCTCGCCACGAATGTGTCTTGATTTTACGCTTTCTCCTCGATATCCATCTTCTGTTGGGACATTGCAGTGAACAATGATTGATTTCGATGAGGATTGTTCCTATCACAGCTTAGTCAGCGATAACAACATAAATAGATAAAAAACGATAACTACGAGAAGGAGGGGAGACAATACATGAAATGGCACCGCTTTCTCCTTTTACTTGCCTATTTCACCACTGTGCTGCGATACATGTGCGTCACGAGGTTGTTGTCCACGTGCTCGCGTGTTACCTTTCATATAAATGACGGCTGTTCACCACAGTAACATCCAATGGTCTGAAAGTTTATACTGTCAATCACGAAACGTTACGTAAACAATGATTCATTGATGCATGAATCAGATTTTCTCGCAATATAGTAAGCCTCCCTTACCTCTCTAACAAACTAGTTGCCACGTCTCTTCAAAATAAAGACCTCATTGAGTTTTGCTTCACACCCACAATTGTTAGCATGCGAAGCTAAGTGACCACACCATCTGGTGTTCAGTGAGTTCTCGTGTTTTCAACCTAATGTTCGCCCATTTGCAATTTGGTCCGATGCAACACCCGCCACTAAACGAATCAATTGTACCCCTCTCATATGACATGGGGAGTTCAACGTTCCTCTATTTAGCACATACAGGGAGCATACAGTAGTTGTTTTTATATGTGTCGCTTCTGAACTTAATAAGAAAATTAGTTGTGAGTCGGCTCTGTGTTTGGTGACCTTCTTTCCTCTGTCAATTTGTAGTGCTGCTGGTCCATCATGAAGCACAAGCAACTACCAAGTTTCAGTGTTGTTACAGTAGCCCTTTTCATAATATCTGAGGCCCTACGTTCCACGATGAAGATACGATGACGAGAGACGGCGTAGTGGAGGGTTCCGAAAATTTCGACCATCTGGTGTTCTGTAACGTGCACTGAAATCGCATTGTACACGGGCCTCTACCACTTCGCCTCCTTCGAAATGCAGCCGTCGCAGCAGCGAACGAACCCGCGATCTTTGGTCAGCAGCCGAACACCAATGCCACTGCTCCACCACGGCACACTATACAGGAGCACTGTTGGTTTAATTGTGAGATATACAAAACAGCCAGTTCAAAAGCCCAATATGGCGGCACTGAAGCCCACCCGTAAAAAAATATTCTACACGAAGCGCAATTCCACCAGAACGTTACATCCACAATGGCAGACCTTCGATTATGACAATTGAGGCTCCGTTATGCTGTTTTTCCTGCCTAGGAGGAAATTCGCTGGTCGGATCATCATGCGGGCGCTGGGGTACGAGTAGTGCTGTACGCCAGGCACGCCCACTCCACGAGCACTCCACTCGATGCCGTCGGCGTAGCTGTCGTGGTAGCCGTTTAAGTTCAGGCCGTTCAGATTGGCTGCATGGCAGGCGCTGTACCACCAGGCGCCGCGAAATGTGACCGCACAGTTCTGCGGCCACACGTCGTTGTCTCTGTCGAAGGTGGAGAAGTTCTGGCCATTCACGGTGAAGGCATTCCATCCTGAGTTGATCGAAAAACAAACGGCCGGTTAGAGTGACTTCGCTAGAAGAATCTCGGAAAGGTGTCGGCAAAACAAAATGATGAAAAAAAAGCTATATAGGCACCCGGCAATGCAGTTTGCGAGACCCGATGGTAGCACCAGAACGCACGGTTTAGCTAGTAGGCGCAGCAAAACCGGGACTTCCAATGCGTAGCCTAGCGAGTAGACGCAGCAAAACTCGACTTGTCCGTGTATTTTTTTTTTCTTTTTTAGTTGTGAGTTGTGAGCAGTGGGGTAACGTGTGATTATGTAAGCGCCCAGGAAGCCTTCTTTGAAAACGTGCGAAAAAGGGCACTGACACTTGAGCGTGTCAGTGTGTTCAGCGAGAGTTTCATTTTTTTTTTTGGTATCCTTGGCGGTCGGTACCAACAATGCTGAGGCGGCCCAAAGAGCTTCGTCGCGCCCTCTGGTCCACTGTCGGGTGCCTATACGAAGTACATATGTTCGTTGATATACGGAGTGGTATAGGGATATACGGAATCCACCTTAGAGAGATAGGGAAAGTGTTTTACGTGCATACGCATTTCTTATAGTTGCCCTTTCCCCTTCTCTTGTAAAGATGAAGGCGAGGGTACGAAGGATATACACTACTTCAATAAAGTGGAAACCCTAAGACACTGTGAACGTCCGCCTAGGTGGAACGGTGGCTACGCTGCTCGGCTGCTAATCCGATGGGCGCGGTTTTAATCCCGACCATGACGGTCGCATTTAAATGGAGTTTATGTGACAGTAGCCCGTCTACTGTGCGATGTCAGTGCACGTTAAAGAACACCAGATGGACAAAATCACCGGGGTCTTCCTCTACATTATTATTATTATTATTATTATTATTATTATTATTATTATTATTATTATTATTATTACTACACTGTGAACGATCACTATAGCCTGAATAAATGCCGCCTACCTCCTTAATGCACTTGCGCCTCCCTATATTTCTCAATAAGTGACTTTCCATCCCATACATCAAGCACGTCATAATAACGGTCCTGTTCGTTTCATGTTGGAAATCGAATAGCCTGCATTCGGGCACCGAAGCTGAAATATAGGTTTTTACAACTTTCAATTGGCGTGTGACTTGTTGGTTTATAGCTTGTAAGTAATGTATTATGCTCTTTGTTCACGACATCCTCTACTACGCATCATTATCGTAGGCGTGATGACGTTTGCTGCGATAAAATGCTCAGTAAGCGGCAAGAAAAAAAAAAGATCACAATGCCTGCGTGGGAAGCGCGGCACAGTCACAGCGAAAGCTGGAGCGGCATTTCAAGAATCCGCCGTTAACTCTCTTAGGGCTACTAATACAAGCAAACTTCCAAGGTACCATCATTATCATCATCAGCCTGACTACGTCCACTGCAGGACAAAGGCCTCTCCCATGTACCGCCAGTTAACCTGGTCCTGTGTTTGCTGCTGCCAATTTATACCCGCAAACTTCTTAATCTCATCTGCCCACCTAACCTTCTGTCTCCCCCTAAACCGCTTCCCTTCTCTGGGAATCCAGATAGTTACCCTTAATGACCAGCGGTTATCCTGTCTACGTGCTACATGCCCGGCCCATGTCCATTTCTTCTTCTTGATTTCAGCTGTCATATCCTTAACCCCCGTTTGTTCCGTAATCCACTCTGCTCTCTTCTTGTCTCTTAAGGTTACGCCTACCATTTTTCTTTCCATTGCTCGCTGCGTCGTCCTCAATTTAAGCTTAACACTCTCTCCAGGTTTCTGCTCCGTAGCTATGTACCGGCAAGATACAGCTGTTATATACCTTCCTCTTGAGGGATAGTGGCAATCTACCTGTCACAATTTGAGAGTGCTTGCCAAATGTGCTCCACCCCATTCTTATTCTTCTGGTGACTTCAATCTTGTGGTTCGGCTCCGCCGTTATTACCTGTCCTAAGTAGACATAGTCTTTTACAACTTGAAGTGCACTATTACCTATCTCGAAGCGCTGTTCTCTTGCGAGGGTGTTATAATCGTTACTTTCGTTTTCTGCAGATTAAGTTTAAGACCCACCTTTCTACTCTTCTTGTATAACTTCGTAATCATGAGTTGCAATTCGTCCACTGAGTTACTCAGCAATGCAATGTCATCAACGAAGGGCAGATAACTAAGCTACTCTCCATTAACTCTTATCCCTAACTGTTCCCATTCTAGGCTTCTGTAAACCTCCTGTAAACACGCGGTAAATAGCACTGAGGAGATTGTGTCCCCCTGCCTTACACCCTTCTTGATTGATATTCCGTTGTTTTCGTTATGAAGCACTAAGGAAGCAGTGGATAGCCTGTAGATTTCTTCGAGGATGCTTATATATACTTAATCGACGCCCTGATTCCGCAGTGTCTGCATGACGGCTGATATTTCTACTGAATCAAATGCCTTTTCGTAATCTATGAAGGCTATGTATAGTGGTTGGTTATATTTTGAGTATTTCTCTATTACCTGATTGATAGTATTAATGTGGTCGATTGTTGAGTAGCCTGTTCGAAATCCTGCTTGTTCCTTTGGTTGATTGAAGTCTAATGTTTTCTTTACTCGGTTAGCAATTACCTTTGTAAATAGCTTGTATACTACAAAGAGCAAGCTGATCAGTCTGTAATTCTTCAAGTCCTTGTAATATCCTTTCTTATGTATTAATATGATATTAGCATTCTTCCAACACTCTGGTACTCTTCCCGTCAGGAGACACCTCTTAAGCAGAGTGGCTAGTTTTTCTAACACAATCTGTCCTCCATCTTTCAGCAGATCTGATGTTACCTGATCCTCACCAGCATCTTTGCTTCTTTGCATGCTCTCCAAAGCTTTTCTGACTTCTTCTGTCATTACTGGTGGGGTGACATCTGAGTTACTGCTAGTTTTTATAGTATTAAGGTCGTGGTTGTCCCGGCTACTGTACAGATCTCTGTAAGACTCCTCCGCTATTTTAACTATCCTATTCATATTGGTAGTTATTTTGCCTTCTTTGTCCATTAGTGCATACATCCGATTTTTGCCTATCCCAAGTTTCCTCTTCACTGCTTTGACGCTTCCTCCGTTTTTCAAAGCGCGTTCAATTCTCTCCATGTTATACTTTTTACATCGCATACCTTACGCCTATTAATCAACTTCGAAAGCGCTGACAGTTCTATTTTGTCTGTTGTACTTGAGACTTTCATAATTTTACGCTTCTTAATGAGATTCTTAGTTTCCTGGGAACGCTTGCCAGTGTCCTGTTTAACTACCCTGCCTCCAACTTCCACTGCACACTCCGTAGTGATACTCGTCAGATTATCATTCATTCTATCTGCGCTAAGATTAGTTTCCTCACTAAGAGCCGAGTACCTGTTCTGAAGCGAGACTCTGAATTCCTGTACTTTCCCTCTCAGTGCTAGCTCATTGATTGGCTTCTTGCGTATCAGTTTCTGTCGTTCCTTATTCAAGTCTAGGTGAATTCGAGACCGTACCATTCTATGGTGACTGCATCGTACCTTGCCAACCACTTCCACATCCTGCACGATGCCTGGGTGTGCAGTCATTATGAAATCTATTTCGTTGTTATTTCCGCCATTAGGGCTGGTCCATGCCTACTTGCGGTTTCCTCGTTTTCGGTAGAAGGTATTGAATATCCGAAAATATTGCGTTCTGCGAATTCTACTAGTAGCTTTCCTCTGGAGTTTCTAGTACCGATGCCATAATATCCTACTGCCTGGTCTCCAGCCTGCTTCTTCCCTACCTTTGCATTGAAGTCTCCCATTAGTGTAGTATACTGTATTCTTGCCTTACTCATTGCTGACTCCACGTCTTCTTGGAAGCTTTCAACTGAAGCGTCATCATGGCTGGATGTAGGCGCGTAAGCCTGTACCACCTTCATCTTGTATCTCTTATTCAGTTCAATTACGATACCTACCACCCTTTCATTAATGCTATAGTATTCATCTATGTTGTCAGCTATGCCTCTGTGAATTAGGAACCCCACTCCCAGTTCTCTTCTGTTAGCCAACCACCGATAGCAAAGGACGTGCCCATTCTGTAGCACCGTATAGGCCTCATCTGTCCTCCTAACCTCACTGAGCCCTATTATATCGCATTTAACACCCTCTGGTTCTTCGAATAGTACGGCTAGACTTCCCTCACCAGATAAGGTTCTAGCGTTAAACGTTGCCAAGTTCAGGTTCCAAGGTACCTACTACATCATAAGCTATAGTTTCTATCAAGTTGGGAAGTACTCGCTACGCATTTGCAAGACATTATGCACACTCATGTGGACGGGGTGGCTGACGACAATGAAGTAGCATGGTTGAGCCATTTGTAATGGGTTGTAAGTATTCAATGACTAAATGGTTATGCATTTCGTGTTGTGTGACGCTGGTTTCAAAATTCACATTGTGTGACGCCTAGTTGTTATATTACTCTTCTACTGTGTCATATTACACATGCTAATGTGGTTCCTTCCTGACCTAACGACGGTTTAAGCTCTTTTTGAGATGGAGTGTGGAGAACCGGCATGACCCAGTGGTAGAACACTAGGCTGCCACACAGAGGACCCAGGTTCGAAACCCGTTCTGTCCTGGATATTTTTCCTATTTCGTGCAATAGCGTTCACGCACACTAGCGGCGGCAGCGAACAACTACGGCGCCAAAAATGGCCCTTGTTGAGATCTCATAACAGCTTAAGCTGTAAAACGCGCAAAAAAAATGTGGTGACGCCTTTTTGAAGTTCCCGCACCATTCATCATGCCGCCATAGATTTCGATGGCGTCTACGAGCACCATACGTAGTTCCTAATTGATAAATACGATGTGCATTGTCTTCTGACGGCGCCAGAGACTCATGAAAGGTTTCTGAAAATTTGGCTTGAGGCAATGTGCATAAAATATGAAAAATACATTTTGCAATCCATGACGCCACGATCATCTCCTGCCACGGCAACTTTAAATGTGGACTTCTGAAACTTATTTGGGCATCTGTTAGTAAACCCATTACGGAGAAATTAACAACACCCTGCAGGGCTTTCAGATGACAATTTATCAGTGTAAACTACTTCATTATTTCACATTAGTGTCCCCTTGAAGGTGCAGAACAGTTACTGCCCCTTACCGTATTACATTAATTTCGAGGGGCGGCAGTGAGCCACAATGTCACGTTGGTTGCGACATCAGCGAGGACAACATCTGGTATGACCAAAATCAAACTATTTATTAGGCCGAACTTGTGGCCGGTAAACTGAAAGTTTAATTAAAGCAATACGCTATAGTACTGATAGCGGCGAATAGAGCGTCGGCTGTATATCGACTGACAAGCGGTGAAGCGCGTCGGCATTTATACATGTGCCATCGAATATTTCAGCGTTAAAGCTAGCGGCCACGTAAGTTGCAGAATAATCCGTGAAGTTCGCGCGTAGCGCGTAATCTCAACAAGATGATCTACTACAGCCCCGATGCTTCTCGAACAATGATAGGCGCTGTTTGCGCTGAACAATACTTGAGGAAGGAATGTGACAATATCTAGAGATGCCTTTCTCCATTAGGGTGTTTTTGCTGCGTCAAGCAATCGGTTTACGTTACGTTATTACCATCCCATGTTTGCGTACTACGATCCGAAAACACTTCAGCTGCACGAGTTGCTCGCTGGACGGTAACGCTATGATATCCTAAGTGTGGCTACCGCGAATATAGCCGACCTCGAAGATACGGTATTGCCATAACTACCATGCAGTAAACCAGCCCTGAAAACACATTCTAATATTGAGAAAACACTCCCGTGTTACGAGGCGTGATAGTGTTGTTCTTATCATACGGTATTTGCAGTGCTTACTTTAGTGCTGTTACTGGCACATTACTTGTTCTCTTAAGTGGTGTATCTATGATATTGTTTCTACAGAGGTTCTCTGGTGTGTCAACTTAGCAACGGTATAATCTATACTCAAGCTTTCCTGAAAGAATTACAGAGCTGTACGCCCACTGGCCAGCCTGATTTTTTGCAAGTTTATTCCTAGAGCCGATAACTTGAGAATCCTATTCAAGAAAAAAAAATGCTTACTCGAGAGACCTGCTGTCGTCTTGCTACGTTTAAAAAATTAGTGCGGAAGACCGGCGAAGGAACACTTACATTGACAAAAATTACAGGTTTGTTGGTAGAGCTTTAGGCTTGCAGATTACACGCCGTATACATATAGGCTAACGAGCTGGTTAACCTGTTAATGAGGGTCTTAGCTCATGACCGAAACTCGCGAGAATTTTACATTTTCCAGAAGCCCAGCAATCCGATCTATTTCGCTGATCTGCACAAATTCTGCACTGACCATCTAACAGCAAGCGAAACACCATAGACTCGTTTTACACGCAGTCTCCACTGTTGAAATAAAAGTTAAACGTGCTTACGTTGCTATAGTAAACTACAGATGAAACTGTGCGGAAAACAATGGCACCTTTTGAACTAAATCTTTCGAGAGCAGGCGATATTGGATAAACTTAATACTCTTGATTTGTACCGCGTGGCTGAAACCATGCGCATGCTGTGACGTTCCGTACCTTCCGGTCCCAGGTGCTTGCCGACTTTAATTTTGAAGAGGTCTTCCTCGGACGCAATACGGACGCTCTCGTAGTCCACCAACACGCTGTCTCCCGTATTGTTGCTCAACACCACGCGGAGGGCCATCTCCTCGTCACCAGAGGTCAGAGTGTGGAGAGCGTGGTTACCTGAAAATAAGACATTAGGTGCATCTTAATTGGTGAATGTGACCTCTGTATTCATTGCCGCATACAGACTTCTACTCAGGCGCATTTCAACAGCCAACTGTTGACTTGAGATACCGTATTAATTGATTAATATGCGGGGTTTAACGTCCCAAAACCATTATTTTAATATGAGAGACGCCGTAGTGGAGGGCTCCGGAAATTTCAACCACCTGGGGTTCTTCAACGTGCACCCAAATCTGAGTACACGGCACGGACCTGCAGCATTCTCACCTTCATCGAAAATGCAGTCGCCACAGCCGGAATAGAGATACCATATTGGTCTCTTCTTTTAAAAACAATCATGCTTTCTATACAATCCATAGATAAGTCAATTTATTCAAAAGCACAAATATTCAGTACTCGGGTAGACCACTACGTTGCGCAGTTTGCCTCTAGCTTACCCTTTGTACCTCTTAATTTTACATGTTGTAGTTAGCAAGTCAGTTAATTTCATCATTATTAGTGCCGTAGTTTGTGTATGAAAGAAATAAAACATCAATGCTGGCTTTTTACGTGCGAGAGCTACGATAATGCTCAAAACACAGAACAATGAAAAACAGCTCGATGGGATTTGTTTGGACTTTTCCAAAGCCCTCGACAGAGTCGTTCACTCTTTGTTGATAGGCAATTTATCACAAATCGGAATAACTCGTAACTTACTAGAATGTATCGAAGCATATCTGTTCGGTCGAAGACAATACGTGGAAAGAAATGGCATAAAATCGAACAGGTTATCAGTTAACTCAGGCGTACCACAGGGATCTGTTTTAAGCTCTATTTTATTTTTAGCGTACACTAATGACATCAGTTTTCTTATCAGCGAATATGTCACCGTATGGTTGTACGCAGATGACTGCCTGATATACCGTGAGATTAGTGACATGAGGGATCATCAATTACTGAGTGATGTTCTGGCTGTGATTGAAGCCTGACGTTAAAAGTTGAAAATGAAAACAAACGAGCAAAAAACAGTTGTCTTCAGAGTATCGAACAAAGTGAAAAATGAACAGGACCATAAATACTTTGTGAACTCCCAAATGCTTACTAAAGTTGATACGCTCAAACAATTAGGAGTAACTATCACATCAAACCTAAGCTAGAAGCTCACATCACTGATGTCACTGGCACTGCAGAAAAGAAACTTCGGTTCCTGCGCAGAAAGTTTAAACTTGCAACCCAATCTATCAAGCTAATCGCGTTTCTAACCTACGTTGAGCTAACACTGCAATATGCAAGCGTTATATGGGATCAGTTACAAGTTGGTCTCATAAATGAACTCAAAATGGTAAAGAAGAAAAAAGAAGGGCTGCACAATTTATTCTCTCCAAGTATCCATCGACTAACTCAGTAACAGCGATGCTGGAACAGCTCATGCTACCACCGTTATCACAGCGGCGCCTAGTAAGAAGACTTAAATTTCTGCTTTTACTTTCGAAACACCAGTTTCACAATGTCATTTCACAGTACCTAATGCCTCATTTAAAGCGAGCTCTCAGGCAAAAGCATGGCTTCATGTTCATTGTGCCACGACTACATATCGATGCATAATGTTAGGTTTGGCCTGGAAATTCGTCTGGGCAGACGCCATTGTGTGTAAGCCGGTCTACTGAGGAGGCTCTCAATCCCTTCGGCGCCTAATCTGCCAGACGCTGTCGAAGATTTGAGCAATTACCTAGACCATGTGACAAGCGAAGGCGAGTTCCTGACTTTCAGCTACGGACCCTTTCGTCGTCTCTTCGAGCAGAAGAGGCGACTGATGCCCTCGGCGACTCCTCTGGCGATGGGGAAGCTGTTGTCACCGGCGCCAAAGCTGACAGGGAAGTGGCGCTCTTTTAATCCTCAATCACGTAGCCGACCGGCCGGCTGCCTATGCCCGCCAGGCATTGTCCCTGCTAGCCGGAGGATGAGACGTCATGTCGCCACGACATCGTAAACAGTTCCAGAGAGGACAACAAAGACAGCATCTTCCTTGCAAGAGACCGTGGCGGCCGCCGCAAATCACCCCGCTAATTAAGCGAACAAATCGACGGACCCTTTGATGGATGTTGTCAGGATCGTGGGACCTCTCGACTAGCGGCACACACACGACGAGGAAGAGCCCTGCTGGCGCTACCTTGCAGTGCAGTGATCACGACTCAATATTGTACGTGCTCGTGGGCCATGCATGCTCGTCCCCCTCACCTGTTGTGTGTGTGTGATTGATGTTCCACTCGGAGAAGAGGAGCCCGACAGGGCTTAAAACGACGCCGCAGAGTGCTGGACGTCACTCTGAACCATGTAACGGTTCAACCACCACGCTCGTGGTTTGTGAAACCCCTAACCTTTCTTTGCTGTAAATATGTGTAAATACTGCCATAAACCTGTTTGTTTTTCGTATCCTCTTCCTGTCAGCGTTCATTTCCTCCACCCGGTTACACCACGCTACCACAAGAGACCGGGTAGTCCCCCATTCCTTACAATATGCAAACTCATTCCTGCCACGAACTATAAAAAAAGCTGGAATGCTTTACCATTACAGTTGTACAGTGCATCTCAGCAGAAAGCTTCGAAAATACCGTAATAGCGACATTACAAACTTGAGTGTGAATACTTATATTTGCCTTCTCTTTTTTCTTTTTTGTCACGTAGCATAAGCTACAGACGTCATTGAAAATATTGCTGTTCAATTGCTGATCTGTTGTTTCTTTGGGCTCACGAACTAACTTGGTTTTTCAAAACTCTGTTAACGTTTTGATAACTATACTGTTTAGATTATGAGCAAAAAGTGCATTGATCACTTTTGGCTTTAACTTTCACTTTTGTTGCGTGTGTGTGTTGCCTTACAACCCAATCTGTAACGGCCGTATGGCCTACAGTATTCTGAATAAAACAAAATAATATTATACGGCACTCTGGATAGCGGAAAACACCAAGTTAATTTTGGCCACCTGCGTTTCTTTTGACGTGAATATAGTATGTCTTAAGGGGGAGTCTATGCCCGAAAAATGAAGTTCGCTGTCATTTGAGCTTCATGCAGGATTTCTCATGTTCTTCGACTAACTCTGTCGGTAAATTCATTTGTCTCCTCTGATTAACGAGAAGACAGCGCAAGAAAAGGTGTGCGGCAGACATTTTCTACCACGCATGCTGTTCTGCAAAAATAGCGCTATTGTTTCACATTGTGACTGAAGACACATAAATCAAGCTAAATATTTTTAGCGGCTTCATTATAAGGTGAATGAGATTAGGCAGTTTTAGAATAGGGCCCACAAAGCGTCGCGTTTGTCGCACGCTACCGTCACACGCCATCCTTTTGAGCACCAACGTTTGAGTGATGAAAATAGCGTCTCATACCCAACAAATGTTAACACTGCGTATTCTGTTCTAAAACATTCTGTTATTCTCTGTATATGCAGAATGCTGATTGTTCGAATGCGCGTGCAGATACCCGTCATTTTTTATATTGCCACGCATGCTCCTTCCTGTTTCATGCTTCCGGTGTATCGCACGTGTAGATACTGCGCCGGGTTAACTGACACGTTTTTAGATAGTTTTGTGATCATCTGTTCTGCTTAAGCGCGAAAAGTCGAAGAGCAGAGTTTATTTTAGAATAAACTTGGCCACCAGCGATAACGCTCGAATATTCGAAGCTGCATGTATAAATGCCGGCGTGCGTTACCATGAATCAGTCTCCCCCATGGCTTCCGCTCTTTTCGCCGCTATCAGTGCCAGTATGTACTGCTGTAGTCTCACTTTTAGTTTCCCGGTCACAAGTTTAGCCAAATAAATGTTTTCCCTTTGACCCCGCGACTGTTGGCTTGGTCGTCGTGACGACCACGTGACATCATTATATAATTTCCGTCAAACTAATACCACGTTCAGCTTAAATTGAGGACGACGCAGCGAGCAATGGAAAGAAAAATGGTAGGTGTAACCTTAAGAGACAAGAAGAGAGCAGAGTGGATTAGGGAACAAACGGGGGTTAAGGATATCATAGCTGAAATCAAGAAGAAGAAATGGACATGGGCAGGGCATGTAGCGCGTAGACAGGATAACCGCTGGTCATTAAGGGTAACTGACTGGATTCCCAGAGAAGGGAAGCGGGGTAGGGGGAGACAGAAGGTTAGGTGGACAGATGAGGTGAAGAAGTTTGCGGGTATAAATTGGCAGCAGCAAGCACAGGACCGGGTTAACTGGCGGAACATGGGAGAGGCCTTTGTCCTGCAGTGGACGTAGTCAGGCTGATGATGATGATGATGAATACCACGTTTAGTTTGTCTTTTCGTTATGAAAGCGATCGGGCAGGTTGGTTAAAATAAAGGGCCACAATCTCGATTTATTTCGTTTGTGTCCCCTATGCGCGGAAGGAGCCTAATCTATCAGAAATGCAGACATTTTCAAAAAAGTTGTTCACTTTCTGTGCTTAGCTGAGTTTCCTCACGACAGTCGTATACAGTCAACCCCTCGGCCGAATCACTCCGAACTTTTCTGGAAATTGCCGTCCTACCAATCCAGTATTCGTCAGATGGATTCCCGAAGCCGCTGGAGTACTCCGTCCAGTTTCGGTAGAAATGGAACACCCTGTTCCCGTATTGTCCCCTTCTCTGGACAACCTGCAGGCAAACAGTACACGTAAGAAATACAAAAGCCAGCTACACAACTTCTGTTCTCGAATCGTAAGGCGATTCGGATTCTTGAAAAGACGAATCAATGCTAATTCGCCCCTCTATAGCACGAGTTATACATTATGCTGACAAAATCGAGTGAATACAACGTACATCAGGCCAGGGAAAGCACAATAGACATTGTTTTTAACTGTAAACAGATATGGCGTAAACTGAGATGAATTAAAGTGGATAAAAAATCACCCAACAATGTTTGACAGACATTGTAGGTAACACTGTCTGTGAATTATCATCATCTTCATCGTCATCAGTCTGACTACGCCCAGTAAAGGGCAAATGCCTATCCCATGTTCCGACAATCAACCCGGTGCTGTTACCCCTTTATTCCTGCAAACTTCTTTATACCATCTGCCCATCTAAATTTTTGTCTCCCCATCACACATTTGCCTTCTCTTGTAATCCGCTCAGTTACCCCTAATGACCAGCGCTTATCCTGCCTATGCGCTACGTGCCGGGCCAATGCCCATTTCTACTTTTTGATTTCAACTATGATATCGTTTTTCCCCTGACCCACTCTGCGCTCTTCTTGTCCTTTAAGGTTATACCTATCATTTTTCTTTCCATCACTCTCTGCGTTATACTGAATATAGTTGAACCCTCTTTGTAAGCCTCCGCGTTTAAGAACTGGGCACAGAAAGCAGAAGCGTAGGTCTGAAAGTTAATGTGCGTAAGTAAAAAGTAATATGCCTCTGATCACACTTACATAAATGCACAAAGCCGTGGTTTCGGAAGCACTTTCGGTCATAGCTCAATTGGCAGAGCACCGGGGGCGTGATTCAAAGGTTATTAGACAGAATTAGTCGCACTTCCCCAGCAGCCGTACGGATACAGCCTCCCATTGCGAATGGCTAGCAGGCTGCGTCCATACACCTTCTGCGGACGCGCAACTAAATCTGTCTATTAATTCGAATGCTATCGAAAGAAAGTGAGACGTTTCATCCAAGTTAATTATTTTCAATTTAGGGACATGAATTGCACTGCTGTTAAAAACACTGCAGCCACAGAATTTCATACAATAATACCTAGACAGGAATCTGGCGCTGCGATCGTGTACCCCCATGGGAATTATGGGAAGTACAGGCTTCTGATTAGATAGTGTTAGCCAGCGAACGGCTTACAGATTTTTTTCTGCAGTTTAAGTTTCGTTCTTCGCGCAGCGTGGGTAGTGGGGTGCGCTGAAAAACGCTGAAGCAATGCCTTTGTTGTTAGAAGTGGCTAAAGACAACTAGGTTTCTTGATTTTCTGCGACGTTAGAGCTTTACGAGTCGCATTTGACAGTTTAAACGAAGCGTCATCCACTCACCACTTCGCCTAGATGTAGCGTCTCATGCCAGTGCAGGATATTCCATCGAGTTCATGTTTTTTCACGAGCGCGTCTTGCCTAACCTCATTCGAAAAGACTGCGAAACAATGGTAAAACAAAGTAGACGCACCGTCACGCTCCTTTGACTTAACTTCAAAAAACAAAAACAAAAAACGAGCGGTACGTTTGGGGCAGAGACCCGGCCGACCATTTGGACAGACGCACCTGGCATCGCAGCATACTAAACGTTAGGTGTTTGTCACTTAATACGGTACTGCCATTTCTGTAAATAGATAATGCGTACTTTCGAGGGCAAAACTAGCATGTTTGTTTTAAGTGTTGTAAAACATAATTCATTATATCTTGACGCTACATCTGGAGCGCAATGGCAGAGCAATGCATACCCTGGTGGCTAAATTTGTTCAGGTTTCACTTCTGCCTCGTGGTCACGGAAACATATAGCAACAAGATATACATACTCCCATAGTAGAATACCAAGTACTCTAAATCGTTCACAAGTTTTTCTAAACACAGAATATATTGATTGATTGATTAAAACTTTATTTTTGTCCTGAGAAGACGCAGGGGAGACCCCGCGCCACCCGGCTAATCCCACGTTGGGACCATCAAGCTGAGCTTGGCGGCCCGTTCACGGGCACTCTGGACGGCCAGGGTTTGATCCTTAAGTTCGGGGCTGCGTAAGAGCGCAGCCCACCTGTCCTCGCTGAGGGCGGGGCCGATGGCTTCACATTCCCACAACACATGATTGAATGTGGCTAACAGTCCACAAGCGGGCAATCCGCACTTGGATACCGTTCAGGGTAGATGGCATGAAGAACCGCAGGGTTAGGATACGCACTGGCTTGCAATAGTCTTAGGGTGACTGCCTGCGCCCTGCACAAGGCCGGGTGTGGGAGAGGGAATACCCTTCTTGACAGATAGAAGTGCTTTGTTATTTCGTTGAACGTAAGTAAGGGTTCCCAGCGAGGCAGAGGGACTGTGGAGGCGGCGCGGTCAGTGAGTCCTCGCGCGGCCTCGTGTGCGCTTTCGTTCGGGTTAGAGGTAGAGCCCTCAATCGACCCCAGGTGAGCGGGAAACCAAGTGAGAGAATGGGGCGTGATACTCTTGACGCTTTGGAGAATGCGGAGGGCCTGAGGGGCTACCATCCCGGTTTCGTAGGCTTTGATAGCCGCCTTGGAGTCGCTGTATATTGACTCTCTGCGACTATCTAGCATAGCCAGCGCGATTTCAACCTGTTCGGCTATCACGGGCTTCGATGTGCGTACTGTGGCGGAGCAAGTGAGCCTGGAATTTGAGTCGACGATGGAAACAGCGAATGCCTCTTGTTGGACATATGGCGCAGCATCCACAAAGCTTGCATCAGTGGGGTTGCTACGGACGTGCTCGAGAAGAGCTCTACCCCTGGTCCTACGCCGACCGACGTTGTGCGCAGGGTGCATATTGCGGGGAATGGGTGCGATGCGCAGTTGAAACCTGATGTTTCTGGGAATCTGCATGGAATCGGGGCACTGTTCAATAGAGTTGAGGCCCAAATCATCGAGTATCTTGCGGCCCGATTTGGTTCCGGAAAGCCTGAGCAGCTGTGAGCGCTCTTGCGCCTCGATTATCTCTTCGAGTGTATTGTGAACACCGAGCTTGAAAAGGTTTTCAGTGCGAGTGCTTACAGGCAAGCCGAGCGCGAGCTTGAAGACCTTTCTTATGAGGGAATGGAGCTTACTTCTCTCTGCAACATGCCAATTATACATGGCCCCCGAGTACGAAAGTTGGCAGAGCACAAACGCAAGTATGATGCGGATGAGATTGTCTTCCTTGATTCCGCGGTGTCTGTTGGTGATCCTCCGGATGAGGCCGAGAGCACTTTCCGTCTTGGTAGTGATCTGTCTCAGTGCAGTTCCGTTAGCGCCGTTGGACTCGATATACATTCCCAATATTCGGAGCGAATCCACTCTGGGCACTGGGGACCCGTCACTAGTGAAAAGCCGTATTTCACTTTGAGACGCAGGTTTCCAGTCACGGTGGCCGCCGCTTCGGGTTCTTTTCTTGTAGAGCAGAAGTTCAGATGACCGGTGGGCAGAAGAGCAGAAGACCGGTGGGACGGAGGAAACGTTCGGTCACGTCGATTGCGGGCTGCATGGCTTGCTCAACTTGACCATCGCTCCCGCCGGTGCACCAGATGGTTATATCATCTGCGTAGATGGTATGATTCATTCCTTGAATCTTCGCGAGTTCCTTGGAGAGCCCGATCATCACGATGTTAAATAGTGTTGGTGAAATAACTGAGCCCTGAGGCGTGCCGCGTGAACCGAGGTTGATCTCTCGTGAGAAGTACCCTTCGATCTTGAGCTTGGTAGTTCTTTGGTAAAGAAAGGATCTCACGAAGTCGTAGACCCTCTTCCCTAGCCCTAGGCTGGCAATAGACTGGAGAATGAATTCGTGAGAGACGTTGTCGAAAGCTTTCTCCAGGTCTAATCCAAGGATGGCTCTGGTATCTCTTGTGCTCCGGTCGATGATCTGATGCTTTATCAGCTTCATGGCATCCTGTGTCGAGAGACCAGCTCTGAAACTAGTCATTTTGTGGGTGTACATTTCATTGGTCTCGAGGTGCACCTTGAGTCGGTTCAGAAGGGCGTGCTCTGCGACCTTACCGACACAGGAAGTTAAGGAAATCGGTCTTAGATTATCTATTTCTGGTGCTTTACCAGGTTTCGGGATTAGAACTGTGTAGGCCGTCTTCCATTGTGCGGGAACCTCCCCACTGCGCCACACCTCATTAATCTTTTCCGTAAGGAATTCGATGGAGTCATCATCAAGGTTCTTGAGCATCTTATTGGTTATGCCATCAGGGCCAGGGGCGGATTTGGCATTTAGGGAAAAGAGAGCCTGCCGTATCTCGGCCACAGTATAGTCCTGGTCCAACTCCGGCGCGTCGCACCCCGCGTAGTCCGGAAACTGTGTGGGTGCAGAGCTATCCGCGACTCGCAGATACCTGTCTATAAGCTTGTTGACAACCAATTCGTCCGGGGTGGAATCAGTAGCAAGATGGATGGCTCGCGCGAGGGATCGCCTCTGACTGGACCTGGTGCTGCCCTGATCGAGAAGGTGTTTGAGAAGACCCCAGCTCTTCCCAGATCTGAGCTGACCCTCGATGCTCTCACAGAGCTCATGCCATTGTTGTTTACACAAGGTTTTGCAGTGCTCTTCGATCGCCCTGTTAACCTCGGAAACCTTCTTGCGGAGCCTCCTGTTATGTTTCTGTCCCTTCCACCTCGTGAGTAGGGCTTGCTTGGCTTCTAGTAGGTGTGCCAACCTGCTGTCCATGTTTTCAACATCGAGGTCAGTGACGACCTCCTTGGTCGCTGCCGTGGCGTCATCTCTGATTCCTTTGTACCATCCTTCAAAGTCTGTCCCAGCCGTCGGTGCTCTCTCAGCTCTGACTTCGCGAAAAACGTCCCAGTCGACCACCTTGAATTTTTTCGTCCTAAAGCGGGCAATCGCTAAGGATACCTCGATGATGTAGTGGTCACTTCTGAGGTCTAGAGCCGTGTTGACCCATTTGACCCCATCTATAATCTTCACAAACGTCAAGTCCGGGGTGGTATCCCGACATATGGAGTTACCTCTCCTAGTCAGTTATAAGCGTCAAGTCAGCTTCTGTCGCCGTCTGCCATAGCTCGCGTCCCTTGAGAGTATCATACATGTATCCCCACACACTGTGTGGGGCGTTGAAATCTCCTACAACTACAAGGGGGTAACTACTGGCCATGCTCACAGCCCTTTTGAGGAGAGAGTTTGCTCTCACCCTGCGATAACTGGGACTGCAGTATACGTTGAGAATAAAAAGTCTATTTCTTCGAAGAGCCATCTTGGGTGAGTTCATTATAATTTCAGTAATTACGTACTCAATGCCATCGGCAACTGCACCGAGGTCACGCGATAGGTAATTGTACCTTTTGCTCACAAGTGTGGCAACTCCCCTACCTCCTGAATGTGATGACGCTACTAGGTAACCCGGGAGTTTGATGGGGGTGCCAGACGCAACTTCCTGAACAGCGATGATTTGGGGCTTAACATCAAGAGTTCTTAAATATTGCTGTAGAATGGGCTTTTTGTGAGTAAACCCGCCACAGTTCCATTGCCAGATTCTGAAGTTTTCGTCCACACTATCCATGTTTAGGCTGAGGGGATGGTTGAGCAGCTATAGCAGCCCGGAGGATCGCCCCCTCAGTTGGTGGCGCTAGTACATTGCGTTGTGCTGAGACCTGCAAAGGAGTCGGACCGGGGTCTCTCCTCGCATCGACCTCTTCTAACTTGCTTATGCGTTCACTCAGTGCTCCTAATCTCATCTTGGGGTGCGCCACGGCTTCTTGAATTTTCGCAAAGGTAGCCTGCATGTTCACAAAGGAAACCTTGAGTTCCGACAGTAAGTTTACCGCCTCTTCTTCTTGTGTCTTCTCAACCACTCGGCGCTTGGTTCCGCTAGGCCTATGAAGTGCCTCAGACGTATCCATGGCAACCGGGGTTGGGACGGGCTGCGCCGAAGAGGGCGAGGACGCGAGCTTTCTAATCTCCGCCATCTCCGCTGCTAGCCTGCTCATTTCTTGCTTAACCTGCGCGTTTTCTTTCCTCAGCTGCTCGTTAGCTCGTCGCATCTCGTCGAGCTAACTCGCGTGGGGAGAACCGCGATTCGATTCGTCGCCTCTAGGAGACTCACGTCTTCCTCGGGCCTTGTCGGCCCAGGAGAGCGTCGGCTTCTTGCTGTTAGAGGTGGTGGGCGTGCGGGAGCGGGACCTGGTCGGCCCCGACGAAACGTGCCCCGGCTTTCAGTTGGAGTGAGGCTGAGAAGTGGAACTTCCCCGGGCACGTTCTGTCGACCTGGAGCGCGAGCTGGAACATCCCTTGGAGGCACCACGGCGCCTGGATCCGGAGCTGCCTCCCGAGCTTCCCCTGGAACGGGGGCGTCCTCTGCGCTGAACATCCGTGGTGGGTGACGAAGACTGGAACTCGTCCGCAGTGTCGAGGTGACGTTTCGGGGACGGTTACGCAGCACCAGCCATTCTGGCACGCTCACTGCGACGACGGCGCACAATGTACGGGATCTTGAACCTTTGAGCACAGTCTTTGTTAGCCGTGAGATGCTGGCCACCACAGAGTTTGCACTTGGGAGTACACACATGTTGTTTGTCAGGGCTTGCGGCACCACAACCTCGGCAAATCGTGTCACCGGGAGTGGGGCACACGTCAGCGCGATGACTAAGACGGCCGCACGCATAACACACGTCGATTTGCTTGCGGTAGAGTGAGCACTGCATCAGCACTGGTCCATACCTGACAAAGTTCGGTACACGATACCCGTCGAAAGCGATGATGACCGTGCCAGTTCGGGCTATTCTCTTGGCTGCTAAGGCGAGTGGATTATTTGTGTTGACAATCTTCGCATCGATGACGTCAGGGCCGTCTTGAAGTGGGACGTTGCGAATAACCCCTTTGCAAGTGTAGTGTGGGGCAGTCTCATAGGCACTTAGCTCGTGCACCTTGCCTGAAATGAGTATTTGCTTCATCCGAACGTATCGGTCTGCGTTTTCGCGCTTGGGAGTACTGGCAACCATAATATTTTGCTGCATATTCGGGCATAGAGTATCCTGGCACAAATCTTCCTGGCTTATGCCAGCGGCAACTAGTATTGCGTCTGCCGCCGTAGCTGCACCAATTTTCGAGATATCGAGTCCACCTCTCGGCCGGATCACAATCTTGATGTCATCTTGAGGAAGGGAGGGCATCTTTCCCATCAGTATTACTTTGGACTTCAGCGCAGCGCCTCTCGATTTGCCGCGGCGTGCGCCCGGCTGCGACGATGGCGCGTTAGAGTCAGCAGTGCGTGTTTTGGCGCCAGCTCTTCTGGCCCCAGCGGACTGCCAACCTTTATCTTGAGTAAACTCTTCTTCTGAAATATCTTCTCCGTGCACTTCATACTCCATCGTGAGCAAATAATTCCGCGCACCGGGCCTCCGAAGGGCCGGCCGCAGGCGAAAAGAAGCCCAGCAAAAGCGCGGTCTCCCGAGCCACTCGTTGGGGTTAAAGAGGGTACCACTCCACAGGAAAAGAAATTGTTCCTAACTTGACAAAAACTCACTCACTGTGGTCAAATATGGTATCGGTAGGATCCTGATGACTTCTCGGAACCGATGCGAGCAACAGTTCATGAACACTTGAAGAAAAAACTCTAGAAACACAGATTTAGTTGCGCGTCCACAGGAGCCGTACAAACGCAGCCTCCCATTCCGCGTCTCCCTCTCAAACACAATGAAGCAATTTTCAATTAAATATAACTTCACATCACTTTGTTTTACATTCCACAAACAAGCATCGCGAATCTCAAGAACGTAATCCATCCAAAGCAGATCTGAAGCCTGTACTTCCATCATTCCCATTGGGGTACACGCGCCGCTGAAGGAGCCCACGCAGAAACTAGCGCCAGATTATCCTCTAGGTATTATTGTATGAAACTCTATGACTGCAGATAAATTTACCTTGCAAATAAAAACAAAAATTATCATCCGCTATGCTTTTCTCGACCTAATTGTCTGGGGGTTTCATTTGGTTGTGTTTAACGTAAAAAAATGGCAGCATATCCACGGGGTGGATGATGGAGAGTGGGGCGAAGCATCCGTCCGTGTATTCGTTCTTGCTTCCGTCCGTCCATGCGTCCACCCATGCGTCCACCCATGCGTCCGTCCATGTGTCCATCCGTCCCTGCAGCCATGCATGCGTCCGTCGACGCATCTTTCTGTGTGTCCGTTCGTCCATCTAGGAAACACTCCAAGTACAACCATCTCGCATCTTTTCATCATATATTCCACATATTCCAGCAGCAATCTGATCGCACTTCAAAATGCACTAAAGAAGGACCTTATCAGCATTCACCAGTGCTGCTTGAATAATCAACTGCAAATGAATGCTACAAAAACAACATTTATGGCATTTTATTCCCAACAGAAAACGGTTACCTTGCCTCTTTAGATTGTATTAAATCATCACACAATACCTGCTTCTGATAGCACTCGGTTTCTAGGCGTCATCTTGGATAAACATCTGAAGTTCCATGCTCATGCACAGTCTCTTCTTAAAAAGGTTTCTTTCGGAATTCATGTCATTCTGAAAGCACGACCATACTTTCCACCACATGTTATCCTGTCATTATACTATTCTTACATTCACAGCGACCTTTCATATTGCCTATAATCTTGGGGAAACACGCACAACACATCTAGATAATCTACGACGCCTCCAAAACCAAGCGGGGCGGCTAATGACGTTCAGTACGTACCTTTGTCGCTCCATCCCTCTATGCATTGACGTAAACATACTTCCCCTTAAGGAATTATTTACTTTAAAATTAGCAGTCATCATGTTTCGTCTTCTTCATCACGATGTGCGCATAGAAAGTTTCTCACCTGAATTTTTGACTAATAATTATAGAACTCGGTTTTCTGTGCGTGAGAATTTTCACTTACCTAAAGCTCGCACGAACTATGGGAAAATGACTGCTAAATTTGCTGGTGATTCTGTGTGGAACCGAATTCCTTCTGAAGTTAAACAATCTTTTACGACAAGCTCAGTTTCCCGACGAACCAAAATACACTTATTCACTGAACTAACTAGAACATGTTAGATATAGGTGCAATTAGGAAATTGAAATTGGTTCATTTTTTTTCTGCTTGTTTTGCACTGCTTTGATGAATTGTACGTTATATCCATGCGTCCGTCCATCGCTCGTCCATGCATCCACCCTGCGTCCGCCTTTGCGTCCACCTGTTCGTGCAGCCATCCGTGCGTCCGTCCATGCATCTGTCTGTGTGTCCATTCGTCCATCTAGTCAACACTCCAAGTACAACAATCTCGCATCTTTTCATTATATATTCCGCATATAGAAGCACCGCCATCCAGCAGACATTCCAAGGACTAAACGAGAGGTGGCACACGCACACTTTCTTACGGCTGGCGCTTCGTGTCTACTTCCCACCTTTAACCACCTCGAGTTCATGGTATATACTAGTTCTCTGTATTCATGGCACTGCGGCCCAACGCTCGCTAAACCTTTCTGAAACAAAGGAGGTTACGTCCAGCAAGTATAACGTAGCAACCTTTTCTTGTCAGATACTGCCTAATGTACATACCAATGGCTGCTAATGGGGAATGAGAGACAGAAGAATTTGGCTTTTAGTTAACGCAAACGCTGCGGTTTTTTTATTGTTCAACAACGCACAGGAGAAATCTCCCACCGACACCCTCTTGGAGGTCAAAGCGTTAGACATGTTACGTACTGTGAGGGACGAACGGGTGCCGCTTTAAGGAGCTTCACCCCTAAAACGATTCCCTCGAAAACATGGCACTTGCTTCGTACGTCCTGCATTCTCCCTTGACTATTTAGCAACGTAATTCACGAAGGTTGATTCTCTAGAACAGCCCTTGCAGAGCGAGGCTTAGAAAGCATGAAAGTGCAGAGTCGCCTACCGTCCAGCCTCCACCATCCGTTTCCATGTCGCAGTAGACCCGCTGCCCAGAAGGACCGGCGGCCTTGTGGAATATGGTGTACACTCCGCTCGCACTCTGACCAGAGCGCAGAAGGTCTGCACAATGCCGTGGTTGAACGGCGTCTACGGAGTGAGAGAAAAAGAAGGGAGCGACAAGCTTCACCGCTCTATGCAATGAAAATGTCATTTCGTGTTACATTAAACATTTCGTATGAAAACACCGACCGTGGGGGTCGGGTGGTAACAGTCTGCCACTGCATTCTGACTCGCAGTCGGCGGAATGAAATCCCGGACGCGGCAGCGGCATTTTCAATGGAGGCTAAAATACTTGGGGCATGCGTGCTTAGATTTGCAGTAACGGGGTGAACTTGTTGGCTAGTTTGTTGAACATTTTCAATCAAGAAAGAAAGCACTACACAAAGACGACGAAACGCTCCGTGTGGCATGTTGCTCGTTCCTTGCGTCATTTTCGTTTTTACTGATCTTTCCCGATTGAAAACGTAATGTAACACGTACTTCCTGTTTCCTGATTGAAAAGTAGAGTGGATTTGCGCGTTATAGAACTGCAGGTGGTCCCAATTTCCGGAGCCCGTCGTGGGTCGCCGTATACTCCAATAAAAAATCCTGGTGCCACCTCTGCTCAGGAACAAGAGTGAAAAAGCAAGGCTACTTACTTTTGACATCAGCAAGAATTTGTGCCAATTCTTGCACTCGCTCCTCCGCCCTCGCGATAGACGGCGCCCATGGAGGGCTCTGAGCCACTGCGCTGGTAAGGACAGTGACGACACAGAGAAGTATGGCTCCTCGCGTCATATTTATTCGTGACGGTTGGTCGAAGGTGTCCTGGTGATAAAACGAGAATGAACAGTGTAGGGACACCATTACATGCATGGCTAATGTAGGCACAGTTACAAGAAGAAAAAAACTCACAAGGTCCCACATGTATTCGCTTGAGACGACTCGAAACTGAGAGCCATTCAGTGTAGATATTTTACCATGCATTTTACATCACCCGAACGCTTCTTTTTTTATTTTTAAAGACGATAGCTTTCGTCGGGAGACGAACATGCAAAATTTGGACTGCCTGTCGCACGTTTCAGCCACTCGGCCAAAGTTTAAGCACTTTTATAATGCCCAACCATCTTGAACTGGTGGCTGCGTTCATACTTGTGAACATTGTCAATAAAAAATTTAATGATGCACTAGTGTGAGGCGCGACATCAACACGTAAGAAAGAAATGGTGTGTTACTTTACGAAAAATACATAGATACGCTTTTCTAAAGAATCTTGTGTTTCTTACAATTAGTTGAAAATGGGGCGCTATAAACCAAAAGCCCACCGCCGATGATATGGCTTATGCAAAAGCTCCAGCAGAAGACTGTCGTCTTTCGACGTCATTCGTAGTGAAACACGCAGATACGCGAATTTTTTTTATTCAAGGAAGCACCGCAATGAGGAACTGAACATGCAGAACGCGTTCCTTGGGAAACCCGATTCTCAGGTTTGCTGTCCCTTGTTTGTGGCGCCATCTCTTGGCCGCAGCTACGGTGTTCTGCCATAACTGAAGTTATAAAAAAACCGCATCTTTTGAAAAAGCCAGCTATTAAAAACGACTATGAGATCTATGCAGCAGAGGCCTACTGGGACGTTTTAGATGCGGAGCATCTAATACTCGAGGCTTGTAGTGCGGCGCCGTCCGCAAGCTTCCTCCTCCTTCTTCCACCATCTGTGCATCCCTTCCTCCTCTACACACCACGCGCGCTTCACTCCTCCACCATCTGTGCACCCTTCCTCCTCTACACACCGCGTGCGCTTCTCCTCTTCACGAACATTCGCTAGCTGTATAATGTAGCGCGCATGCGCCGTCACGCTTCGAGAACATCGGCAGCTGACGCGCGCGCATGCGCCGTCGCGCTTCGAGAACATCGGCAGCTGACGCGCGCGCATGCGCCGTTGCGCTTCTCCCCCTTCTCGAACATTCGACAGCTGACAGTGCATGCGCCGTCGCGCTGTATATATACTCAAGGTCGGTGCTCGCTCGCTCAGTTGCCGCTCGTCGGTTGGTTTGTACGGCGCGTCGACGTCCGAGGTCGCAATGATCGACGTCCCTTCGACCAGCGCCGGCCAAAGTGTTGGCGGAACCGCTCAAAGTTCGTCGCAATAAATAAACACAGCCCTTTCGCATACGTGTCGTACGTGTTCACTCATTTAACACCCCTCCTACAACCACGTTAACCAATTTAGCCAGCGACCCAAGTAAGTCGCAATTTAACACCCCATTTCACAACCACGTTAACCAATTTAGCCATCGACCCAAGTAAGTCGCACTTTAACACCCCTTTAACCAATTATATGCTCCGCATCCTCCTCAGTGTTCCCCCGAGGGAAGCTGCGGGCAATTTTTTGGGGAAACTGCAGTATCGCACTAAAAAGCGTGTGGCTTCCCAGGACAACCGAACACGGCCCATGGGGTCCCGTTGTTTCTGGGAAGCCAGGCGGTTCGCAGAGAGCACGGAGGCAGGAAAGGTAAGGAGAGGCCCTGACGTCACTCGTTGTGAAGCCGCGATTACAGTGAACTAGAATTCACTGTACCGCGTAGTTCACTGTACCGTAGTTCACTGTACCGCGATGAAGCCGGAAGTCGGCCATATTGACTAGGCAAATTCTCCTCTCTTGTTTACATATGAATGCGAAGCAGAAGGCGCGACTCCCTCTCCGGCTCGGAAAGCACGTGGGCTGCGCAGCGCGTGTGTCATGACGATCCGAAACTAATAGAACTGGGCTCATCACTCTGAGGCAGCGGGACACCTTCAGCGAAATCGCTTCATCCGAGTAATAACAGGGAGTAACAGCTCGCCGACAACGAAGCAACTACGAGAGAACGCGCGCTAGATGCACTGACAACGGCGAGTGCTTTCACGTCATTAATTCAGCAACTGTACAGACAACACGATCGGTCGTGCGCCTTCTATGGTTGCATCGCCACGCGGCCGACGCAGCGTCCTGCCGCTGTGTCCGTGTTCCGCGTGAAAATCACCGGCGTCAGCATTCTGCGACCTTGGTGACTGAGCACGGTGCTAGTGACAGTTGAACGCGGTTGCTGTTACGTTGAGATTACATGCAATGCTGGTGGAGAGTGTACCAAGCGGAACAGAAAAGGTGTTTTAATACGCACATGCAAGTTGTTACTGTACACACACAACACGAAACTACGTATGTGCACATGGTCCTCACTGCGTCTTGCTGGGCTCAACAGCGTCGTCCGTTGTCACAAGCAGGAGCACTGCTCAACCGTCACTGACCTGCAAGGCGTTCGTCGTCATTCAGCTTCGTCATGGTGCCCAACGCAATTTCGCTGAACACTAACTGCTTCATCCGCGTCATCCACCGCACGACACATGGATATGCACTTGTTCTATGCACTGTTGAAACCCCGTGATGGACAAAGGGATTTGTAAACGTTGCTAAGAGTAATGTAACAGCCAGGAGAACACTGCGTAACCAATAACGCGGCGCAGAGCACAGATATTGTTCGCCACGGCTCAGCACGAGACCTGGGGAGGCACACATTCCGCCGCCAGCCGCGGCCGCTCACTGCTAGACCAGCTCCACTGCGCAACACGTAACCATAGCAACGCCGCCATTGTGCCTAGTGAATATGGCCGCCATGATGTCATTTCCGCCACACTTTTTACGTTCTGCGCCGGCTGGGCATGCCCTCTCCTTACCTTTTTCCTTCCTCCGTGGCAGAGAGCAACTATGATTTAACGGAATACATCTGCTGTGTAGAACCGGGAATATTTTTTCATAACTAGCTTTTTTGTCATATATTATTTTTTCGCCACTTATGGTTCCATTCGGTTACGGCAGGCCCCCGTTGTTGCCGCCGAGAGATGGCGCTACGTTCACAAGCTCCCAAATCCTGGTTATGCGACGCTATTTTTTGTGTTATTTATGTATATGTCACATGACATAGATTTCTTATGTAGCTGTCGGAATGCGGAAACCCCTCGTGCTCTCTGGGAAGCAGAGGAAGAACTAAATTTAAAGTATGTGTTCTTCCACCGCTCCGTAGAGGACACCAAGGGTTTTATCTGTTTAATGCTTTAAAAACACCTTCGAAGCAATCGACTTGGGAATCAATCGGCTCTATGGGAGCGGTGGAATAGCTCGTGGGTTAAAGCGATAACAACCAGTCAGTGCGTGTTTCGCCACGTCAATAAATTCGAGGGGTTGCGTTGGCCAGGTCGCCTGTAGTAAATCTTCGGTGGCCGTGCATTGTGAGTACGCCCGGCGCAATTGTTTAAAATCACCACAAAAAGAAAAAAAAACCTGACGCGATCATTTGGAGGAGACATCCGACCACGCCGAAATTGCCGGGTGTGTCACCCACAAACCACGCACAGAAGGAAAGGGGAGAGACATAGTCCTGACCACATTAGTGAAGAAGGGGCTAGTTGCTATACCACACATTACGAAACAAGTCACGGATATCAACCACATTCTTATAGAAGTCGTGCCACGCAGCAAAAAGAAGAGCAGCACTTTTGTCCTAAACGTACACAGCAGCCCATCTAAAAAGGGCCTAAAGCATAATTTTGAAGAACTAATTAACGAAATGATGACCATCGCTGGCGACAACCGACTTGTTATCGGAGGAGATTTTAACGCTCCACACGTGCAGTGCGGATATGGGCACTCGTCGAAGAAAGGAAAAAACCCTTGCCCACCTCATCGAAAAGGCCGGACTAGCCATTCTGAATGAGCCAGCCTCGCACACCAGAATCGGCGTAGGTCCTCACAGGGACACCACGCTGGACTTGACCCTCTGCAAGAACGCTGGTCGAATCACGTGGGAAAATACCTTTGAAGACCTAGGAAGTGATCACAGGATCCTCAGCATCGCCCTAGGCAATCCTCCTACCAGAAATTGCAAACGGACAATCAGGCGCGTAGATTGGGACAAATTCCACAGAAGCAGGAACCCATCGAAAACATAGAAGAATGGAGCAGTGAACTTCTACGAGACGTAGAAAAAAGCCACAACTGAAATGGAGTGGGATGACTGGTTGGCTCGACGAGAAGAGGAAGATGAGTGTGGCGGAACCCTCTCAATGCGGGTGGACAGCAGGCTCGCACACCTTGTCGAAGCCAAAAAATCTATTCAGAAACGGCTGCATAGGCAAAAATACAATCGAAATCTAAGGAGAAAACTCGCCGAGCTAAACAAGCACATCGAAACACACTGTACGCAGCTACGCCATCAGGAATGGGATGAAGTGTGCGGCGCTATGGACGGCAACATAAACACACGTAAGACTTAGAAAATCCTCAAGCACCTGCTGGACCCGTCGGCAACCAGAACGGCGGTGAAAGCGGAAATGACCAAGATAAGATACAGGTATAAATTTAGGGAACATCCATCAGATGTGTGATGAAATAGTAAAGCTCTACCTCGGCAGACCCCCGCAGTCGAACACCAGGAATACTCGGGCTCTCCCAATGAAGATCTTGACAGAGACTTTTCACAGCAAGAAATCAGGGCAGTCCTGCAGACTATTAAGACCAAGTCAGCTCCAGGTCCCGACAAAGTGTCCAACAAGATGCTCCGGAACCTGGACGACCAGGGAACGAGCCGTTTGACAGACTTCATCATTGAGTGCTGGAGAAACGGGGAGATACCCGACAAATGGAAGAAATCCGACGTGATCCTCATTCCTAAGGCGGGTAAACCCCTAGAAATCCAGAGCATGCGGCCCATCTCCCTCACTTCTTGCGTCGGTAAAGTAATGGAGCATGCTTGCCTGAACAGGGTTAACGGCTACCTTGAGTCTAAGAACGT